TTATCAATAATGTTGAGAATGGATGATGTTAATGGTCTGGCCGGCTAATGTTGAACTTTTTTTTTTAAGCCTTCAAATGGGTTTGAGCTTTTCTATGACAAGTGCTTTGTAGGTTCTAATTTGTACATAGGTTATTGGTGTTGTATGTCATTGAATGTTGTAATGTACATTAGTTGTTTGTTGCAGTAAGAATGAACTTTTGTTGCCATGGTGGTGTTTGTGTTTTTTGACATGAGAAGGTTTTGTTGTTTTGTTTATAACTATGATAATACCATATATGGGCTCCTCTCCAATAATCATAGGAGTTTATGCTGCTCAACTTTTCATGGGCTTGTGGTTCTAAAGGGTATCCCTAGGTATGAAGAATTAAGAAATTATTCAGACATTTGAGGCTTGGGATTACTAAATATTGTTTTCTGGACTTCCATGGCCCAGGTTCTAATCCTTATGAGATTTCACGGACATGGACCTAATGTCTGATTGGGACCTTGAATAAATTACAAATAATCCTCCCTATATATAATTTCAGAATGCACTGAGCCTACGTGGCTGCTTCTGGTGCTTCGGAATCCTATTTGGCGAAGAATCATGCTTCGTAATTAGGTTTGGACAAATAATATTAATATATTAATAATTAATAATTTAGGTTCGGGTATTCCATAAATATTATTTAGCTAACTTAGGTATTTTAATATCACTTTTACTAATATAACCCTTTATTATTTGTAATTTTACATAGTGAGACACTAAGTGACTAATATATCCCTAAATTTTGATTTGCTTCCTTCAATAAGCTATTGAATATAAATGTATTTTAAAAGTAGATAACTTTTGTATTTCTTATCGGTTTTACATATATAATATATCAAATTAATCATCTTTTGATGATCTTCGATTTGACATCCATATTGTATATATAAATTAAATAAATTATATTTATCTTTATAATAATAAAAAATAATAATATTTATTAAAATTCATTAGAAAAATAAAATTATTTCTCAATTGATATATTTATATTTAATGTAGTTATATAGTGTAAGTTAAAAAATTAGTATAATATAACACAAGTAAGTCGCACAAATAAAAAGTATCATAATAAATATATAATAATATATATATATTCTTATAAATGGTATTTAAATTTTCGAACTACTTTTTCTTATTAATTTTAAATTTTAAGAAAAAAATTAGCAAGCACCCGTGTAATACACGGGTGTTGTACTAGTAGTAATAAGAAAAGAGAAATTTGCACCCCTTATCATCATGTATGATTTATATTACACTAATATACCCCTTATATTCTTATTTATAAAATTACCTAAGCAAGTCAAAAATATTTCAATTTTACTTATAACTGTTATTACCTTAGTTCAAGGAAATTAAATGCAAATGGGATCCTTAATTTAAATACTCCGACAGCCTCACCGTCGTTGGAATCTCCCTCTGCAACGGCGTCGTACGAAGTCATCTCATGGCTGCTCGTCTACCGCACCGCATCCTACAAATCCCTCAAGTCCACCATCGACAAGAGTCTCCAAAAAGCTTGTTTTGGTCATGATTGAATCTGTTTTGACAAAAAACTTCTCAGATGATAATTGTCGAACACTTGGTGTGCATGATTCGTTAATAGTTAGTTCTATTCTGTACATGTTGCGACTATACGTTGCGAGTATATACAATATATTTCAGTATATGCTTCGGTGTATTAAAATTTATATGTTTTCGGGTATGAAAATTATGTACATGATTTATATGTTATTATCATATATGAAAATTTACATATTGCAGGTATATGTTGCGGGTATATGCCAAAGTTGTACAAAATACATATACATAAAATATACATGAAATATACACTCGAGATTCTCGTAATTCAAGCCCGCGACAGAAAGGGACACACATATACGTAAAACATACTTTAATTGTACAATATAGTTTTAATCGCTTCTCAAAATTGATTTCAGAACCCACATATACATCAAATATACCTACAATATACACTCCATCCCTGAACTGTGGATCTCGTTCAGAACCCACATATAAATAAAATATACTTAAGATATACACTTCTATATCAATGACGAACTTCAAATTCAA